TAAGTTCTCTCTCATTCAAAATTTCTTAATTTTATTTATAAACATTTTGAATTCTAACACAATAATAATATAAGTATGTACTGAGTAAATTGTAAGTTACAATATAAGATTATTTTAATTAAAAATAGTAAACCAAGTTACCGAGATAAAGTTTAAAAGTCCTATTAAATCTTTTTTTTAATTTGTTTATTTTAAAAATTCAATATTTTAAAATAGTCAAATTGCATGGAAATACTTTTATTTCATATCACAATTAGTCATCTTGCCATAAACAAAACTTTTATGTAAGATATGCATTGAGTCAATCTCATAGTAGACATATTATCCATTTGTCTAAAAATAAAGTACATAATCATGACACATATAATTATTACTTAAAAAATATAGTCTTAAGTCTTTTAGTCACCTAATTATAAATTATAAATTTCTTTGTGTAATCTCAAAATAGTCTTTTCGAATAATGTATTTTCCAAATCAGTGTTTTTAAGCATTAATTATCTATGGAGTACTTTATAGTTGAGATTTATTCACTCAGTGTCTTCCGTATATATTTCTTAAATGGATGTTCAATGTAGGAAATTTAGGTATTTTCAACATTTAAATGTAGAGTAATTTTTCAAAATGACCCTTTTGGATTAGCCTTTTCCTCTCGGTTATAATAATTATAATTTTATCGCAATTGTACATTTAGGGGCATCTTAATGTGTTGTGTCCTTCTATTAGCCACTCATGTTTAAGCTAGTAAATTTCAAATTTCAAATGAAAAATATGTGATTCCCTTTTTTTGCAAATATTATTTTGTTGTATATATTCCATGCAAATATTTATTTGTGTTTTTTTTAAAAAGTGCTTGTTGTGACTTCAATGAAGTCAAAAGTGAAATACCTATGATTATTTTTAAATGTTTTGGTAATTTTTCTTTGTGAAAACCCTTGTAACTATATTTGTTTTGCTCTTTGAAACTAAATTCATATAAAGTGAAAAAATTTTGGAACTATTATGTGAAAAATTTTAAAAAAATTTATGTGAAAAATGTAACTATTATTTTAGAAGTTGATTTTAAAAATTTATACTATTATTTTAATTATTTTAGAAGTTGATTTTTTAATTTTTTAAAAAAGAATTTTAGTTCTCACTCAATTGCATAAAACTTCATGTATTGTTCTAATTTCTTTAACAATACTCCCTTTGTGTTTGGATTTGATCTTCTCAATTGACTTTTCTTGTCAATTTTGTATACTTAAACACCAATATACAGAACAAACTTTGTCTTTCGATAGAAATACATTACAAATATCTTCTTTTTGAAACTAAGAAATCTCTTAATATTTGGTGACTCCTATTTTGGAGAAAAAAATGTATTTTTATAACAATATTTTCTCCATGTTTATTCTTATTCTGGTACAGAGTAATTTTTTCCAAAAAATTATAGCAACACTGTACATAAGACATATACTCCGTATACAACTTAAATTGGATCTACTCATATTTTGATTAAAATTGCCACGTCATTCAATCGTTAATAGGTGACCGGTGATCTGTTAAAATGTTGTCATGTAGATTCGTCACTTCTCGCAATTCTAGGAGATTAACTCTCAAATTTAATATGTAAAGATTCAGAAATATTTACCAAACTTTTAATTTCATATTTTCCACATCAAAATCTATGTGACATGTTAGGTGTTAAAAAGAGGCTCATGAGTAAGCCACATGTCAGTTCTTAATTACCCGAGTCTCATTTTTATACATTTAGGAAAAGATAAAAAAATTGCATATTTTTCCTAATTTTTTTATGTTCATTATATTTATATATTTGGCTAATTTAAATATATTCTGTTTGTATGAGAATAATATTAAATATAAACTAATCATTATTAAAATTGTACATTTTTCCTAAAAAATTACTTTTTTAAATCTGCACTAAGTTAAAATTTATACTAAAAAAATATATTTTAAATTAACTAATCATCTATTTGTGTTCAACTTTTTCTTCTTTCTAAAGAATATTTTGATCTAGTTTATAAATATTATATTACATGTATGTGAAATTAATATATAGGTGAAGTGTGTATCTTATCTACCATTATAAGTTACGTTGTAAATGGAAAGAAAACTTTATTCGTTTTAAGTTCAGTAGTCAATATAATTTTTGAAGAAATATGTGAAATTTTATTCGTTACGGAGTATTTTTTTATATTAAATAAAGTTATTATAATAATAATTAGATCAAAATTTTATTACTAAATGTTAAAAGTTCTCATTTTTAATTTGTTTTAGTTTGTTTTGATTTATTTTTGTTTTCTATAAAAATGATTTAATATCCTTTTTATTCAATTGACTAATTTTTAAGCTTAATTGGAGTCCGAGCAAAATATTATGGTAAAAATTTTACTGAAAATTTTGTTAGTTAAAAAAGAAACTTTTCTTTTTT